TGCGCAAAGCACAGCGAGAATCCAGGCTACAGAATTCTCCAGTTTATTTTGCCCTGAATGTCAAGAAAAAAATAAATTAAACATATTATTTTAGTGCAGATTGTTTTAAACACACTCTTAGAAAATATTTCATCAGCTGTTTTATATGATTATATTCTGATCAGAAATTAACGTGCAAACAATGAAGACTTGGTATCTAGAATTAGGAACGAAACTCAGAGCTTCAAAAACAATTTCCATGAAACTGACTTTCTAATTTCAACAATAAATTTCTTTCAGTTTGATGCAGAGGAGGGAACAAGCCAAGAAGCATGAGGAGCCAGGCCCACCAGAAGGACGATATGGTCTGTGAGCTGCCGTCCCGAGACACGCAATGCCATGCAGTGAGCGCACAACTGGTACTCAGCAAAGATGCTGTTTGCTGATAATCTCAGGCACAAACTGTTTGTTTTCCATTAAACCATTCTTGATTTCTGTTTATCCTTTCTAGCCAGGAACTGGATTTCTCTGGCTTCCTAAACTTGCCTGTAAAAAAGACATCGAAACCCTCCATTTTTCCTGTGAGCTGATTGCTGATACATTTCCTCAGGAAGAATTTCTCTGCTGCCTCTGCCTGTGAGCAGACACAGGTATTTCTATCAAGGTCAATGTTTCTGTTTTGAAAAGGCACTGCTCAGTGACCACAAGCATTATTTTCTGCCACATTATGTCATATAAAAAACCATTTACATTGAACTGCATTTTCAAAAGGCTGCCAAGTCCATGTGTGCTTACGATAACTACCTGTCCTATGCATCAAGGTGTCAGCGCTGCCCTTACCAGGGAATTGAAAGGATGTAAATCAGCCAGCAGCACGAGTGTTGGGTTTATTGGTGCTGCAGACAAAACAATATTAAATTGTGGCCAGATTTGTTTCTGAGAAATGAGGAGCTGAGCCTGCTGTCTCTGCCGACGGCTGTGGTTGCACGGTAGTCCCTAAGAGCGGCATGTGGATGATGCCATGAGCAGGCCTGTGTGATCCATCCTGTGCCGCCGTACCACCCTGATGGGGGTACACAGTCACCCTTGCAATTACAAATGGGTTAGGATGGTTTATTTTGTCTTCAGGGTTACCACTTTTCTTTCAAGAAAATAAGATTTAGGATGTAACTGTCAATGAGTTATGCTTCGTCTCAGTCTTAAGGATGACTGGGGCAGCAAACTGTGGAAAACGGTTAAGTCCCATAAACCAATTTTAAGCCCCGCAGTGTGACAGCTGGGAAGTGTCTCCGTTTTCTAAACCAAAAAGGAAAGGGTCCTAAGTCTCTTCCATCTTCTGTCGGTTGGCAATGGCCCCAAAAAGGCATCATCAGGCAACACTACATCTCACTGCAATTCAGAGTAAGGTGTGGGAGAAGCAGCAATTGCAGAGGCTGTGCTGTGGCTCTGGGGACCTGCCTGGGGTGCTCCTCCTCGGGCTTCTCTCCGAGACATGCCCGGAGGCACCAGCCCAGCCCCACACACCACTGTGAACCAGCTTGAGCCCATGCACCTGCCTAGTGAGAGGTGTCCACATAATACATGAAAAGGAGGCAACAGGGGAAACTTCCTCAGAGACACAGAGCAAGTTAACAGCAACACTACTGAGACCGGCTGAAGTACGTACTGAAACCCAGCGACTTGTGCAGTAACCTCTATCGTGTCAATGAACTGCAACAAGTCTCTAAAAACCCTTTTTCATAAGAAAAACTGAAGTAAGTGGACATGTCCTTGGATATTTTTGAGATTTAAGTAAATTTTTACGGAAGACTAACTTTTTTTTTTTACCATCAGAAAGAATTTTCCGTATTTGATCTGTGCAGTGCGTGAGTAGGGTGTCTGTAAGGGCGATGTTTCCAGGTTCCTCAGTCATCATCACGCTGCGCAGCACAGACAGCTCCAGAAGTGCTCTGGCTGACACAGAGGGGCCCTCAAATCCTTCAGCCTTGCTGGGAAAGCAGATTCAGGACAGCACAAGTGTGCTGCTATGTACTTCTTGGCCCCAAAATTGACCTGTGGATCTTTTAAACTGTGAACCCTGGCAGTGGCTGTTCACACGCACCTACAGCTTCACAGATTTGATTCATATTGGGCTGCTGTGCATAGTTAATGAAGGTGTTCAGCCCGCTCGGATGCACTGATGATTTTTTATCTGGCTTTGACTGCAATGCTTCTAAACGACCTTTTAGAGATAGCTGGTATCAAGGTGCAGCTTTACAATACGCGTTTTGGCAGCATGTGGCTGCATTTCACAGGGTTTGATCACCACCGCCCAAGGAAAGGATCCAGAACGGTGTTTCAGTTTTTAACAAAGTTGGAGGATTGCTGCTACAATGGATGGACAGTCTAGGCCAGAGGTTTTTCTCAGGATATGGGGTCAGAAGAGGTCTCCTGGTCTTCAAGTTGGTCTCATCAGAATATTTCCCAGATAGCTGCATGAGGCTAATAAACAGACCCAGGTTTCTTAATTAATGAGATGATTAGTCAGCCCCCCTGCCCTGGGTGAGTGGTCAGATTGCTGAGCCTCTCTTCCCAAGGGCTCACCAGTGCCACAGAGCCAGGTGGGAAGGTCAAGAGGATGTGTTACAGTAAGGAGGCAAAACACCAGGAGATTTGCATTCCATAGCAAACAGATGTAAGAGGGAAAAGTACAGTAAACAGGAGAGTGTAAGGGACTTTTTTTTTTTAAGTGAAAACCAGGAAGTTAAGAAACTCAAAAGATAAGAGCAAAGGAGGATGTCTAAGAAGAAACAGTTGATAACGTGCCATGATAAGGAAACTGTTCGTTCCAGAAAAACATGTTCAGCAAGCAGTAAATACAGAACAAAGTGGGGCAAATTATCATGTTACAAAGATGTTAAAACCATGCTCTTTTTTTTTTCCTCCAACATTTAAGAGTTCAGCTAGCTCCAGTAAAGTTACAGTTGACATGATCACTCATATTAACTTCCAGCAGGAACATTGCGATGCATGTCAGGGAAACACATGTAAAAACTAAAGAAGTAATGCAACTAAAAGGCCTTACCTAGAGCTTAGGCCTTAAGCTAGTTTAAAGCAGTCTCTGAAAACATAGGCATGTAAAAACAGAACACTATCTAAAACAAACCCTCCATATGTCCAAAAGTTTAGTTGGGAGATTGTTCGTTTACTTTTAATGGAACACAGATTTAACTCCCCTTGGCATTAACAAGTCAGTTTCTTCCTTCAAATACCTATTTTCCTGGCTTCTGTTAAAATTACTTGGTGGTCTGCATGCTTATGATTAGGCAGCACTTGCTTTCCAGCAATGTAATAATATTCATTACAAAACAGAAGTAAGTCATTCTTACCAACATAAATAATTTCACTCCAGTCACTCCAAAATCCTCTCACACAACATATGTGATGATTAGCTCTTATTTGTATGGAATACCTGCTGGTAACATCAATCCGTAATCTGAAGTTGTTTGAGGATATTTTCAATATCTGTTAGGAAAACAATATTGTACTGTTAGAATACTGTTGTACTGTTATATATAATATAGTACTTAAGACGAAACAATTCAGAAAACAAACTTTAACCATGTTTGTCTTTTTATTTTTTTAAAACTCCTTTACTAGATTAACTGTGAGCATCTGGCCTTGCTTTTGAAGTAAGATCTCTATTTTTATAGGTATAATTTCTCATAATACACCAATATTTCAGGGCAAATTCTTGAAAGACGCCTCATTTTTGCATGCTGGATTTTCAGGATTGTCCATCCTCCTACTGTTCTGAACCCAGATGCATAAAACAATAACTCCACTTTTTGTCCTTCTGCTTTCCTAGGTCTTTTGGAGACAGTTTGTTGCAGACATAAATGACATCCAGAAAAAGAGGAAAAATACGAAAATTTATGAGACTTTGGGTTTGCTGAACCCTAGTCACAAATGGGACACAAGTTTCACCAAAAGTCCATAGTTTCAAAAAGGTACTAATAGCAGGTTTTATTTTAAATGTTTTAAAATTTGTACTATATCCATGAATATGAAGACTTTTTCACTAGGCTGCATAAAGGCAAATTCTAGCTATATATAGGACAGTCAGCTCAGAGACAGGAATGTTATGTAATACTTGGGCATCAGAGAAGCAATTACCTGCTTGTTACCTGACTTCAAATTGAAGAGGTAAAATTCATATTCAAAACATTCTTTAGGGAAAGGAGAAATTGGCTTCTCCCATGTGGCCAGGAGATCATTTTGCTCTAAGAATACAGTGACATTTCTGGGAACATTCACTTTCTCTACAAAAAAGAAAACCGTACTGGTAAGTTATTTATAGAGCAAAGTTTAAATACTAACAATTGGAGAATTTTAGAACCTGATAGTGTTTCCAATTAGGATCTATAATCCTTGAATTTATTTCACATTTTGGACAGAAAAGATAAAGATTTAGGAGAAATAACTATATTGCAGAAAATAGTTAAGGGAAAACAGTTTTAAAAATCCACTTAAAAGTTCTGGAAAACTAGATCACTGGGGGTAGGGGAAGAATTAGTTAAATTAATTTTCACAAAAACATTAAATTAATTATAGAACAGTTAAAAAAAACTTCTTTTCAGGAAAAAAACAGATGTAACCAGAAAAGTTACTGAAAACTGGAACAAATGCAAAGGAATGGATCAGCAGCTATTATGGGGATGATTTCTAAGAAGAAAGTATGTCAACTGTTTTATCTTAGTGAAGCCATGAAAAAGGGAAATGTTAGCTGTTTACAAAGTGTGGAACTAATCAAGGAAAAGAAAGTATTGGGGTAGATGAAAGATGATAGACAGTCATGGCTGGTGCTACCTTTTATTTGACAGCCTAATGCCTTTCTTTAAAGGGACATGGTTATCTTGAACATCACGTGTCTTTTTCCTTTTAAAGAAAGGCTGTAAAATAAAAGGTAGCAAAAACTGTACTTGAAGGTATACCGACTAAATCAATTGAAAATGAATATTGGAAATAATGCTTTGGCTAACAAACAGAATAACAAATTGTCTTTTCTAGCTTTTTTTTAAATCATTCTATAAATTAAAATAAATTATTAAAATCAAAATTAGTTAAAAGCATCCATTTCTGTCTTATAATCTCTTCCAATTTCATTAAGATGTCTATGCAAAACCAGCACATACCTTCACCTGCATCAAGAACCATTCGATCCAGTAGTATTCTCTCACAAATCTTTTGACAATCCTGCTAGACATTTTAATATTTTTTAAAGTGTATTTCTACTCACCAATGGCATTTTGGTTAAATAACTGCTGAAAAGGCTTGATTGCTGCGTACTTGCTAGACCCATTAATGTGTATTACAACGAGATTGTCAACCTCTTCGGGATCAATATGAGTCGCTGAAAATCTGCACTCAGTATTCCTGTTCCACTTGTCTTTGATATAATCTTGACATTCTTCAGCGTACGTCTCATACCTAAATTAAAATACTTGTGAGACATGATGCTCTTAGAGAAATTAATTGCTGACTGAAATGGGAGAAAACACCAACCTGTAAAATAGAAAGTACTTGGTATCTTCTGGTGCCCCTTGGCCAGGAAGCCAAGTGCAATGAAGAGAAACGGTGCTGGAAATGGTGATGCGAGTAACACAGGACAAATTAGTGACAGATGTCTCTGGAGCACCTAGAGAGTCAAGGAATTATAAAGCAAAAAGAAAAATCTTATTACAAAAGTCGTAAGAAATTCATGTTGCTAAAACACTTTGATTACAGTCTTTGGTCTATTATATCTATGTCTCTTGTATCCATTTCTCTTCACTATCACACAGGTATACCAGTTATGGATGGATGAAGATTCCCAAACAGTGGAAGTAAAGCTGTACCACAGAGCACCATTACATATTCCATGTACACCAAATCAACATGATCTTTTAACATCTCAGAGCGTATGAAAGTAGGTTAACTTAGCCCTAGCAAGGAATTTTTAGAAAATTTTAGATGGGTTATCCATGTTCTGCACTTCTGGATTGTACTCCAGGTTCCACAGCAGTAGAGAAAGGCCTGGACTAAATGGTTTTGTAGTATCAGTGTAGCAGGTAGAGGGGAAAATGCTGTATTTTTCAAGTATTAAACCTGTCACCTTTTGATGTCTCCTCCACAGCCTGGGGTAGAACACAAAATTCAGACCTCCCCTGCATTTCTTCTTACCTGGCGGAGGCGGCAGTTTTTCCTTCACCCAGTCACTTCTCATCTGAAGGTCATTGTGGAGAAGTAACGTCCGAATGTGTGCGGAGAAACCGTTGTGAAGTGCAGCTGTTCGAATACTGTAAGTCTTCTTTGTATCGTACTTGAAATTAATAAAACCCAAACAAATAAGTATCACATGTGATGGAAGCCAAATTAAGGGACCTGCAAAGACTGATCTAGTCTTTGCAAAGAGGCAAACCAGCCAGCTAGCTTAGCTGGCTATATTAAGTGTGTAAAGCTAGAGAGTACAAATAATCCGCATAAGAAGCGTGTAAGGTTTCTTATTTAAGATAGCAAGACCCTCATCTTATCAAAAATTTGTCTATAGCATACAGCTGTGATGAAACATGGTCTGACATTTTAATGATACCCTGGCACTAATGTGAATTAAGTGAGCTGACTTGAATGGGGAGCACATTCACTTAAAACCAGTGTCCAGCTTCCCCCCAAGAGGAACGCTGCAGAGACTTCCAATTCCCAGGCTAACCCTTGTGCCAGCAGATCTGTCCCAGTGTAGCTGAAAGGGAATCTCTCCAGTGCCCAACGTATTTGTTTATGATATAAAAGAATAAGTGATTCAATATGCCAGTCATTCAAGAGACATATCATGCCTACTGCCCCCTGGTTTGGTGCAACATGTTTAACTCAACAGCAATTTAACCTTCTTAGGATACTGGACTTATCTTTTATCTTACCTCTTCAGGCACAGGGCTTAGGATTTTCACATCGTATCTAATAGTGTAGTTTTTTTGTTCTTGATTGGGGTTTGGTTTCCAGTGTAAAAGTACTTGTGCTAATGCAGAGACTGTAAGGGTGAAGTTAACAGGTGGGAAAACCTGAACTGTAAGGGAGAAAACAAAAATATTCATAACATATTAATCCAGTGAATTGTTTACAAGCAATGAGCAATACAAGCAAATAATTTCATTTCAATATTATATTCTCTCAACAGCTTCTTATAAAATGTTTCTAATATTTTTTAAATATCTTTAAATAACATCCAAAACTTCATCAAATAAGAGTGTACTTAAAGCTTAGCCTAAAAAATGAATTTTTAAAAGAGTTTCAACTTGAAAATCACAATGATACATTGCATTTGGCTTGTTAATTAGGTTCAGGTTTTTCAACTTGATCCTCATAGCCACATAGACACTGGACATCTGTACGGAAAGGGGGCTGATCAAGTGAGCAACCATACGAACAATTCTCACCCATATAAGCTTGCAGAAGAGCATAAGGAAGGCGGGGGGGCGGGGGAGCTTTCTAAGAGAAGGTTGACAGCCACAAGAAGTTATATGTGAGAGAATAAACAAAATGATGAACAGAGGAATTAAGCACAAATGGAAGAAAACACAGAAGGATGGGAATGAGAATTTAAAACGACAGGGCAAGAGGGATTCCTGGAGCTCATATGGAAATGAGGAAGATCCCATGCTGGGGGAAAATGTTAGCATATAAATAGCAAGGCAATGAAATAATCAATCTACTCCCTGCCATTTCTAGAGTTCTTCAGAGCCTGTCCTCCCTTAATTACCATTTCCAAGGCAGCTGAGGGGTGTCAGTCCCCACTTCACTTCTCCCATGATTTCAACCTTTGATGCCCACTAGTTCAGGTTTCAAGCATGCACCTTGCATTAGGAAAACTGCCTCAAAAAGGCTCAGAAAACCCCAACACAAACCACCCTGAACTGGTTCCCTTAAAATGTTCCTTGCTGAGATGCCCACAAAAAATGTCACCATTAAGGTTGTTGATACACCAGGATTACGCCAGTGATGCTTGGTGTTGCCATGTTTCTGAAGCTAACTGCAGTTTTGTTCCTGGAAGTAAAATTGCTAACTGCAATAATGCCTTTGCTCTAGCCGGATTAAATTGTTGAATAAACCAAGCCAGGAACTACTGTCCATCCCAGAGGGCAAATGGCATGGCAAAGGTTGTGTCTACATGCCTCATCGTTCTTCCCTCTGAAAGCAAAACAGTCCTTGGGCACTGGCTGGGAGCAATCTAACGAGACAGGATACAACTGTCCCAGGAAGCGTGTTAACACAGCATGGTCATCTGTGGTCCTGTACTCACGGCATGGACTGCTTTATTCATGTGCAGAATAGTGCATTTGACCAACACGTGGAGGGGCCTTGGTCACCCACTGGTGCTAAAGCTACACGCTGGTAGAAGGAAAATGCCTTACCTCCCGCAGCTTGAGGTATGTTTCGCTGAACCAAGTTCGTTGTCCAAAGGAGGATCAGAAAAACTCTCCTCATTCTGGCCATAATCTTTAGATGGTAAATGAAAACAGCCATGTATCAGCACACGTGCCTTGTCACCATTTTGCAGAGAACGATAGCTAAAAAAGAACACAATCCCAAGTGTTAAGCACACAAATCATGGAACATGGTATAGCCGCATGATCAAAGGAATGGAACTGCTACCTTGCAGGGGACAGACTCCTCTCCTTTCCTTGCAGGAAAATGCATCTTGTCGTAGCTAAATTTAATATAAGTACCACCAACCACATGTCATTTTGTTCCATTTGCTTTTGCTAGCCCTCTTTGAAAGAGCTACTGGTTTCAAAAGCTGTCATGTGTGGATGTTCAGAGCAGCAGTCACGGAACTAGAGCATCTCTCCACGGAGAGGAGTGAGTCGGGTTCAGGTATATTGGCTTTCAATAGAGTCCCATTTACTCCAAGAACAGAAATAACAATATTTTTAGCTGTCACTATATATAAAATTGGTACTTTCTGGAATTTACTTTCCAGCTTCTATTTCAATAAAGCTCACTAAAGAAGCAGTCTCGGTGCTCACCTCAAGGCTAATTCTCCAGTGTTAATTATTGGCTGTAAGAGAAACTATTTTGTTTGTTTCTAATTTAAATGAACAACTATTTTTAATGCTTAAAACCAGCATGTTCTTATGCTTCCTATAGACTGTTTCATGAAGTACTGGAAGAAAAAAAATCTGTGTATAATCATTCATGTATAACCCAATATAAACAACATAGAAATACAGAACAGCAGCTTTCCAAAATGTTCTTACTGAAGAGAAATATGCCCTCCCAGCCCAATCGCACTACTTCCCTGGGGCACTACAGCAATTGCTTGTATGGAAAACATAATATTTTCAGATGGTAATGAGCAGAGAAAGCATCTTTAACCCATCAGTTCTCCCTGAACCTCCAATAAATAACCCGGGGACTGGAAGCACTCCAATTGATCACAGTTGGAGTACTTCTGCTATATAGCAACTATTTTTCAAAATGGTGTATGAATGCTGAGTTCATTAAAATGACACATAATCTACAATACACTGTGTTGCTTAATGTCCAAGTCCACTCATTATCTATGTTCATATTTTGTATGTATCTGCTATTCATATTTCATATCTATCTGCTATTCTGCAAGCCAAAATGTGTACGAGGCTAACTGAACCTCTGGAGTTTGTTAACAGATTATTCCTGGGGAGTCAGGGTTTGCTTTTAGATACGTTGGGTTATGGAAGACATTTTGGCCAGACATTTTGGTTCTTCCAAAATGTATGTGAATCACAAACAATCAGGTAATTATTATCCACACCGTACATTTATGCCTACACAATGCCTCCAAGACTATTTCCTATTGCATTACCATTCATGAGACGTCTGTTCTTTTGGATTTTCTCACCTGAATGCCATGCAGACCTCTGCTTCGCAAGATTATGTTATTCTGGAGGGCATTATGCGGACCGAACACAAGTTTACAATGGCACCTGATCTCTGCCACACCTATCCTGCTTTTCTGATAAAAACTAATTAAAAAACCTGCTAGAACACGACACACATTTCCAATATGCTTTTGTACAAATTACTGGCATCAGGCTTTCTTTCCTCTTTCAAAAAAACATCATTTCATTTACCTGATAAGACTATTAAATACACTAATAACTTTTTTCTCTATTTAAAAGTAAAAATTTATCCACTTCAAGTCCCTGAAAATAAGAACTAGCTTCTCATTTCCAGGCTAGCAATAACCCCCAGTACAACTCTGCCAAGAATGCGACTCTGAGCTGCACAGGTGCGTATGCACGTGCTTTTATGCATGAGTGCATATCGGCACTCTGTTAACATTACCCACCACCTTCATTGCAGCTCTCCCATCGGCCACCTACAACCAAAACCAGCAGCTAAGAAGCAGTTTCAAGTAGATTAAGCTCTTGTAATGTGAACTAGGTACCTCGCTGAGAAAGACACAAGAACCCACCGAAGGGCGTTCCACTCGCATAGGAGAGAGACGGAGGGATGGGTTGTGCTTCCCCAGCTGCAGTCAAAGCCTTAATCACATAAGACATCAGGTATAACTACGAGACTTTGAAAAAGAAGCTTCATTAGTTCCACTGCTAAGAGCACTCATGGGTTTGTTTTTTTTAAAAAAAGCAATCACTTCAGTACATTATTAAAAAAAAAAAAATCTTTAAAAAGCCTCACATTTTACAACTGCTTAGGATTCACATCTACTAACTTGAGTAACATCAGTACGCTGGTTTCAGGACTGCTCTGGCATTTAGCACAACTAAAAAAAGCTGGCTCTTTTCTGGGTTTACTTAAAGTGGGTTTGGTGACCTATAGATTCTTTTTACTTTGTCCTCAAAAAGTAAGGATTCTGATTCTTCCTGGGCACATTCTTTTCCAAAAAAATGAAAAGATCCTAAAGATCAACTTTTCAAAGGTACTTTTGCTGTCTAAAAGCATGTACATATTAGATACAGATCTAACATTTTCTGAGCAGCAGTTTACTGATTTGAAACTGGATATAAAACATTACTGTAATGCAGACTAGTTTTCAATTATCCCTGTTCTTCTTTTCAGTTTATCTTTTCCTGCTTTGTTTTCAAAAATGCTATTTTTCTTTTTCTTGCTATCAGACTAAGATTGAAAATATAGCTTTTGGAAGAGGTATTTCCATAGCTGTGTAAGACCACAACCTATAAGAACACCGTGCAGCCTGCGATACTCTGTGTGTTTCAGGTGAGAAATGACAGAAAATAGAATCAAAACAAGTGTATTCAAGTAAAGTTGTTAACTAGCAATCCTCAAGAGGATTATGCTCCTCACAAAAATATGGATATAACAAGCTCTCAGGACATATAAAAGCCTTGATTATATTATGTTTTGGTTATATATGGTAAAAAGTAATAAGCAGAAGGTAAAGGATCTATTCCCTTCATAAAGTATATCCTCCTTCTTAAAGGACAGTAGAAATCCAAACCATAGAAAACATAACTAGCAATCCTCAAGAGGATTATGCTCCTCACAAAAATATGGATATAACAAGCTCTCAGGACATATAAAAGCCTTGATTATATTATGTTTTGGTTATATATGGTAAAAAGTAATAAGCAGAAGGTAAAGGATCTATTCCCTTCATAAAGTATATCCTCCTTCTTAAAGGACAGTAGAAATCCAAACCATAGAAAACAGCCTCTAAGAGGTAATGATTTTCTTACTTATAGCTAACATGTCCCAGTAGCTCACAAGCAACTGGTCAGAGGCAGATTCCAGACGCATTTCCCAGTGTAAGGCAAAGCTGACTCTGAAAAGCGGGACCTTTGCAGTCTTCAAACAGAGCGCAACAAGACAAAAGCAAACCACAACAGATATCCCAGGAGGTTACCTGTGGAGTCTCAAAAGTTCTGTGAAGAGTCTGCTCCGTTTGTTCAAACATCCTCTGGGTCATCTCCCTGTGGGTTTCTTTTATAACTGCTGTCTTTCAAGTTCAAATGTGATAGGTACTTCAGAAATGATGGCAGATGATAAGTTAGACAAGCATGTATTGAAAAAGGGAACTACAGATTTAACCACAGGATGGAAGGCTCCATACAAGCACACAGTTTAGCCCAGAAATGGTTTTACTTTATTTATCGAGGGTTAATTATATACCATAGTCTGATAATTCTCTAAAAA